ACAGCAGCCAGATATTGAAAGCATATCTCAATCCTTTTAGCAGCTTAAGGTGGCATCTTTTGGACATGCGTAACTTCGATTTTAATAGTTATTACCGGCTCGACTGTCAATACTACCAAATAGGTTGAGAGAACCTTGTTGCTTTCGTCAATATGAAACTAGTTTTTATAACTTTCAGCAGATGCCAGTTGGACTCTTGTCGTTCCATGGGTGGTAGCACCTTCATTGCCGCTAAGAACAATAAAGTTGAAGTTGTGTCATAATTTCCAGACCGCGTTCGACTACGAAGCCACCTACCATGTTTTTTTTCAAAACAAAAGGTATCTCCGCCTTCCACTACTGCAGCCAAAATGATCCGCTTACGTGGGAGTTGAATGTAAAAAAACATTGGTTATTGTTTTCCAAAGGATATCTTATCAACTTAATGAAAAAGTGTTTCTGACCCAGAACCAACTGCAAGCGTCCGGCCATAACATTGTGCTTCCTTCGTTATATGCGAGGAACCTCTGAAGCAGTCAGCCGCTAGATAAATAAATTGGTTTGGTATGTAAAACGAACACAAACCAGCCTTGCCTATGCGCGCAGTTGTAGTTGTCGGGTAAAATGTCCAGCCCCAAAGTGCGATGGACCATACGCCCAATAGCTTGCGTGTTCCAATTGGCCACACTGGTCGGCGCCTTATAACCGACGCTTCAGTTGTGACGCTATTCAGTTGATCATACTGGTCAATGCTAAACTGATGCCAGAACGCGCCTGGTCATGTTGCTGGCCTGCATTTTCGCTTCAGTGCAACCTAAGATAAGGAAAGGCGATCCGTCACTAGCTCCCTCGAACCTCACTGAGCCGCTGTTAATCCTCCTCCCACCTCAGGACCCGCCAGCGTACTTTCCTGCCCCCCCCACCCCCTTCTTCCTCAAATTCCTCGTGCGCACACCGTTTACGCAGCCTCTTCATCTTCGGTGTGATAGTCACACCGTTCCTTATTTAGTTTGAGGGGTCGACGACGTTACCGACGTGGAAGGCCATGATCGTAACTCCATTTCCCCAAAGACTCGTTATCTCGACAAAAACTGACTTTCAAAGTTGTTAGGGTCTACTACGCTTTATAGGCCGCCACT